ATCAGCTAGCTTTTGACCGACTGGCTAAGGAATTTGAATTTTAAGGTTTGGGCCGTGCAATGTTTGTCTACACCTGTTCAGGTTTCTTTTCATATTTTCACCTTTGAAACTCCTCTGGATTATTTCTGGTAATTTCCTGAAAACAGTAATAATAACTTTGCAGCAAGAAAAACTAAAAGAATGAGAGAACAAAATGAGCAAGAAAAGGAGAAAAAAATCCGAATATTACAAGAGCAGACGTTTTCTCTACGGAGGTGGAGCCCGGGAGGTAGAGTCACATTGACAACGATAACAATAACTTCTGTGAAAGCGACTCTAAACTGAACAATGACCGAGAAAATACCCCGAAGTTATGACGGGTTAATTACCATATTTCGCTTAAGCTCTTCCAGGTGTTCGATTAGCTTGAGACGAAAATTATTTCAAAGAAAAATTGTTCCGTTTTTTGGAGAGTCCAAGCAAACCAAATAAAAGCCGGTCTGATTAGGGTGAGTCCCCGCACACTGGTATTATTGTGATGTTTCGGGATCATATCAAAATTCCTCTGTGATCATGTTCAATAGCGAATTTCCCCCCACATCAAATGTATTTGAAGAGTATGACAAGATCGACAGGAGAGTGAAGCTTTAATAAGAATGGCATCAGACTCATTTCGCGTGTATGCAAAAGGAGCATGTACTGTGAATCATGGCGTGTCACCAGACCTCCAGTCCTCTTACATTTCTCTTAGAGTATATACGTGAATATTACCTGTCTCCAAATCTCTTTCTTGTTCCCTTATGTCACCCCCTGGTCTTGTTGCTCGGCGAATGAAATAGTCCGTTTTACCGATGAGGAAGTTGGCTTTGAATCTCCTGGTGCACTGCGGAAGCAGCTTTTCCTCGACTTCTTTGATAGCTTTTCCTGCTTTAGCAATGTCTTCGTCCGAGACAGTGACACTAACAATTAGAAAAGAACGAAAAAGACAGAGTCACGGCACAGGCACATCAGTATAAGTGGTTTCCAGCGAATTGACTGATGACACTGATTGAGTGCATGATAAAATGTTGTAGGTTAACCTGCAATATAGCAGTACAGAAGCATAAAATGATCGAATGTCATGAATATTCATGTATCTCGATGTTTTGAATTTTGACCTCAATTTCAACTGCTCACTTTTTCAGAGGAACTTTTATTTCATTCCATTTTGTTTAGGTTTACATGTCCTGTCCTGTCGGCTTTTCTTCCCTCTGTGATTTCTTCTTTTTTTACCCACAATAAGGGGAGGGGGGGCGGGCCCCCTGGGCCCTTCCCCAAGATCCGCCACTGCGAGTCCAGCGATCGATTAAGTAATTTTTAGTAAACGCTAAAATGTTCATCAAACTAGGACGCCCGGGTACGAGACTGACATTAGAAACCTTTGGATTCACGTTTACCGCAAACTTCTAACTGCGTTTTGAGCTTTGCCGTTCGCCGTTCGGACGTAAATCGATTTAGATTGGAGTAAATTGGAGTGAATAGAAATCTTAAGCACCCTGTCAAAGCAATGGAAATTGTCAAAATAACGCCACTTTTGCCAAAAAAATGTTTTCTAGCGTGTGTGTAGCATCATAAAACACACATTCAACTTAAGCCGCCGCCATATTGGATTTCCACTCAGGATCAGTACCTTTCTACAAACAACAACAAAAGGCTAGGCAAAATTACTTATTTGCCTGAAAAATTTATCCAGTTTGTAGAAAAAGGGTCAGTTTATTCGATTTCAGTATTTTTACGTGACATAAAATAAAATTCAAGGCAGCAATGCTTGAGGCAAATAGCTTACGTGAAAACCTACTTCTAAATGTTCAAAACGCGAGTCGAAAACCTCAAACGTGATGTCTGGCTCTGGTCATGTGATCCCTAGCGGTTAGCTGTTCCCGGAAAACGTGAATCTAAAAGTCTCTATTGAGCATGCGTATATAACTTGATGTGACGTCAGTGTTTTTCATTGTGTGCATTAGATAGCTCTCCAGTTAAGAATTTATCCAGGTTAGGGAACGTTTCTGAAAATATCAACTTCTAATTTCAACGTGATCAGCTATTATTTCCTGTAGCAGATTTATATATAGTTTTTTATTCATTTTATTTTACCCACAAACATTCTTTTTCTTTTCAGAACGGAAACAATTACGGGCATTTTTAAACTATATTTAAAGAATCTGACAACTAATATTGCATTGTGTAAATAAATTACAGAAATGATCAACTTAGGGCTGTCGGGAATTTTTTTTCCTATTGACGCGTTTGATTTTCAAATGATCCCTATAACCATTAGTCTTTACTTACTTCAAATCAGGAAACTTCGGGCGGGATGATTTCAAATGATAACTGATTCTCCTAATGTTCATTCTGTTGATGCATCTCATACTGCCGTTCTCTTGTTGATGAGCCCAAATTCTCACAACATCTTCGAACAGTCGCTCTACTTCACGTGCCTCCTCGGTTGTTATGCCAACAGCAGCTGATTTTTCTGCCAACAAAGCCGCCATGTTGTACTTGTTCACCGCGGTTTCTTCACCTAGACAAGCAGGTTCCAAACTCTGCAGACATATAAATAACATAGATACTTGTCACCGTGAAAAATAATGTATTTCGTACTTCAAACTATCACTGAGAAATTGTTCATGGCTAATTAATTATTACATTAGCCTGATACGAGGTGCAAAATTACCAGCGATGCACGTAGCGCCGAGTTTGTTATAATTATCTCGTATCCAACAACGTCAAAAGAAATAGAAAAATCCTGGATCCGCCCCTCCGTGGCCCTTTGGTTTCGCCGTTAATAACTGCCTATATATTTTCGAGTGCCATGTCGGTTACCGCAAACGATATTCTCCTTATTCGCTTTGCACTAAAAGAAAAATGTGGTCGAAAATAGAGCTTTCCACAAGTTGCTCGAGGTTTCCCAAAAATTTGCCCGCAATTTCTCAAACATTTGCTGAAAAATTGCTCAAAAAAGTCAAAAGTTGCTTTTTGTAACGAAAGTTGCTAACAAGTTGTCCAAAAAAAACCAAAAAAAATTGTTGCTCTCTTCCTTTATTTGGTCTGATGCAAAAGTACAACAAAGTAAGATTTCTAAGCATTTTTGTGCAATTTTGCAGCGTAACCAGCGTTGCTAAATAACTTTGCCCTTAATTAAAACCAAAAAAATGTACGAGTAAAGACTATGCATCAATATTGATATTAATCTTGTAAAAATTCTTCACCTGAGACAATGGAGTCGATCGAGTGTGGATCTTCGTCCGCCATTTTGAATTAAAAGAAACTCACTGAACTAGCAGCCCGGCTGCATGCATCTTAAAGGGGGAGGGGGATCTGGCTTCTTGTTTACAGGAAATTAATAAAATTGTCTACTAAAACATTGTGAAATATGGAAGCAAGGCTAATTTAAGCACTAAAAGCTGCTCCGATTTCTCAGAATTTATAGAAAACTAGAAATTGCTTGAAATACAAGAAGTTCCCAAAACGTTGCTGGGCAACTTGTGGAAAGCCCTAGTCGAAAATGCAAGGTCTCATGTAAGTAATATAGTGTTACTGTGGAGTTTACAATATCTCATTATACATACAGTTCTATGTTCAACGAAAAAAACAGCTCAAATTACAATAAATCTGTTATAGGTCTTTTAGCCAGCGCCGCCCTTTTGGTTTGTGACGGAGCTTGCGCTGGGAAGCCAACATAACACCATGGCAAAAGAACACTATGGCAACATATTTATGGAATTTATATTCTGCTCATGCGTAGTCCAATCCCCCGACCGCTCTTCACACTTTCTCACTTTCGGCGGCACTAAGAGTGTGAAAACGAAACTTACATGCGCATATATAAATCAAGAGCAATTTTATCCTTAGTGTTAATAGTTTTCTAATAAAAATCCTCGAGTTGCTCAGATTTCAAAAAACTCACGTAATTGCGTCTTAACGTAGATAGTGCGTTATAGATTTATTCTCATCCTTCTAATACAACCATTTTCAACAGATCTGGTTTCTTTCACCAAACGAATGCAGCGAGTAGGGGTTCATGAATGCAAATTAACGATTATTAATTGGTTGGAAGTAAAAAGAGTATCGTACCTCAGTAGAGTATTCCATATATTCGTTGGCCAAGTCAAAATCTTTCGCTTGTCGGTACACAGCTGACATGATGTAAAAAGCCTTTGTTTGCAGAAAAGGCCAGTTGCCCGAGTTGAGACGTGTTGCGCGTGCGCAGACACCTCGACATGTAGCCATACAGTCGTCCATTTTGTTTTGCCCAAACTGCATAATTGCTTCCTTCACCAAATTGCAAAATAAAAGCGACAAAATGCATGGTGACATATAACTCATTTGGTTTGTGTTTGCGTTACTCACGGTGTAAAGCAGAATTGGTGACGAAAGGTACCAAAAATACACAAATCTCGTCCATGAACGAGAGATACTGCCACATTCTATGATAATATTTAAAGTCACTATTAACGTAAGGGAGATACGTACGCTCGGATAAAACGAAATGGCAAGGGACTGGTAAAATACGATCGTTACAACGTAACGGGGGTTAGTCATTTACAACGGTTCTTTTTTATGCATTTTACTGATAAAACTGAATTTTGGTTGTAGAATGGCATTTTTATACTGGGGTCTTGGTTGTAAAGGGGTTTTTGTATCTGGGTTTCGGTAAACCGCACGAAAATGAAAACGAAAACGGTGCAAAACTCCTCGGATTCGCCACGAATCCAATGAAATATCCTTAGCGTGGTGTAAAAAGCTCTAATGCGCATTGTGCTAAATAGCCTTACCTCGAGAAGTACAGCTAACAAAAGATCTTGATACTTCACCACTCCGTCGACACGTTCAATCAACTTTCGTTTATCAATCAGAAACTGATTGTACTGACCTGAAGGAATAACCCAATACTTAGTAGCAGAACTATCAGTATCACACTGGACTTTTACAAGGCTGTAATAGTAATAAGAATAACAGTAAAGGAAATTTTATATGGAGGTCAACCTCTAGCGAGCCATTCCAGGGCGAGTGAATGTTTGATACATTCTCTTATAAATAGTAGCAAACTGTTGTAATTAAATCCAAAACCATTTTCTCGGGGAACAGGTGTACCCTGTGTGGAAGGTCACTGACTTTTAAGTAGGGTGACGAGGGGGGAGGGGAGGGGGACCGAGTCAACTTAGTTCGGCGTAAAGATACATTTTTGACTCGCTTACCAGGGGCGAGTCGGGACATATAGATATGCACGAAACCGGAGGGTTCAATTGTTGGCTCGGTCAAAAGGGACACCAGACCCAGGGAAGGTTAGTCAAAGCGGCAGGGGAAAAATCGGCGAGGAAAGTTTTCACCGATTTTTCCCTTACCGCTTTGACTTTCTTTCGCACTAAATAACTGCCACTGGGTCTTCGAGGATGCAGGATCATCGTTTTCATATGAACAAGCAACCGATCCAGGGAAACATTTTCTCCTAGTAAACAAGCCCTAACATTAATAGCAACAGCATCAACAGCAGTGACAGTATCGATGACAATAACCGTGCCAAAAATACGAACAATAAAACAACAACAACATTTACAGTGATAATGATTATAAGAATAGTTATCATCATAAACTGAGCAGAAAGTGCGTCTGTTTTCAATCAGGTTTTATACAAACACTGTCTTTCATTCACTTAAAAACTTAATCACTGCTAAGCTGAAAGTACAAACCGTTATCGCCAAGGTTTTGAAAGTGCATCCTTATAGCTCTTCCACTTTGGCGTGCCAAGACACCTAAAATAGAAGATAATGCTTGGAAATTACTTTTCGATTGTCACTTTTGTTTTCTTAGCGTTTTAGGCAACGCGATAATCGTATAAAGTGTACAAAGGTTGAAATATAATTTCCACAAAAAGTGACAAAGCTGAAAACGCGTTCAAAGTATGTAGACCGTTCAGCTTTATGTCAGGAGGTGAAGGTATATAGTGATACTAAAGGCCACCCGCGCGCGGCAAGATACAGTAGTTCCCCTGTGTTTCTATCAAGTCTGACTTTTCTGTATCATGTACCTGTCATCTGTATTTTAGGTATGGGCTTCTCTACCTCGGTGATTGTTCTTCCGCTCTGATAAGCAAACAAGTTTTTATCTTCATGTGACTTAATGTAAAAGTGCACGACGTCAAGAACTGTGACAAATAGAGAAGAAAAACATAAGTCAACACAATAGCGATTTCTTTCGTGCTTTTCACAAAGATTTAATATTTCCTCTACGCGCTTTAAAAAAAATTGCTTCGGTAGGGAATCTATATTTATAAATTAATATAGTTATATCATTTATTGAGGGAATCCTGGCAAAATTTCACTTAAAATTAATGGTATTTTGCTTTAAAACCCGCCTAGAGGTTCGTATACTAAATCTCTTACTTTTTCGTGAATACCATCACAAAATCAGGCAGTATTAGGAAAAGCTATACGTGTAACGGCAAAATCGGTACATGCCCATAACTGAGCCATCAATCACATGATTAACACGTCACTTTTGAGTACCTTTACACTGCGAAACTCCCTGGCAGAGTTTGATTGTAATCGTATGAGTGGAAGGCTTTTCGTCTTTCACAGGCAACATAAAAACTAAGTTGCCAGCGTAGGGAGGAAGTTGCATATTTCTACAATCAGTTTTACGTGATAACATCCAAGCGTATGGCGTTACTTCCGGAACAATCCTGAACATTCTATCCTTCTAAAAGATAGAACAGAAATGCAGTAAAAGTTATTTGTAAGTAGCTACTCGACTATTTGATCGGTCCTCTCATCGTTTTCTATTCGCTAATAAACTACGATCGCGTGCGCGCCGCTCTTGAAATTGAAAATTATGCTAAGTTGTAGTTTTTGTGCTGTAATCCTTTTGAGTGTCAACTAAAACAATTACACCACTCGCCCTCTTTTTCTTTGAGTTATCGACTGTTTAATCTGTGTACATAACTGCTTAAAATCATTGCTGTCTTTAAAGGTCTGTGTATCTAAGTACTTTCCCCCGTCCCTTGCACCTCTTTCCCAGCGAAACTGCAAACTACAAATTAGGGAATTCATGGGTATGGACTTAAAGGAATATTTTCATCATCAAAGTTGTCAGATGGTAATGTCTGTAATACATACAGTGAGATGTATCTGTTCCATCACTGGGGATGCATCACAAAGCCAAATTTCTTCGTTGTCTTCATCCTCGACAGCCACAACAAGCTGAATTATCAGTGAATGGAAGGGGACTTGGATCACGCATGGATGCAGTCCATTTTCTCTGGACTGGCCAAAATGTATGTCGTCTGAAAGCTGTCGACTTTGTTGTAGGATTTTAATACGAGCCCTGTTTGGCCTGAATGAGCTGGTAGTTGCATGTGATGCTTTTCGCAAAGGAATAAAATTGATTATAAGTCAAATGGAGAAGAACTGGGGCCTAGCAGAAGTTACCACCCCTTAATAAAATTACCATCCTTTAAAATGGGGTTGAATGACGTCTGTTTGTTTGTTTGTTTGTTTTAGCGTGTGAAATGCACTTGAGAATCACTAACCATAGAGAACACAAATTTTCACCATCACTAACGCTCCTTTCATTCAGAACTCGAATCCAATGGCCTCCAATGTGTCGATGTTAACCGCAACAACAAACTTTCCGACCGTCTTTTTCACTTCATGCCATATTCAAGGCAACTTCTAGGTTTTTCGCCGGCTGACAAGGGCGCTCTGATGACAAAAACTGACTTTTCTTTTCCAGCATTTTGCGTAAGATTCGTAGATTTCGCAGTTCAATTCTGCTTTTTGCGATAACTGCAGAAATTCTCGCGCCATTGGATAAAATTCATTGTCAATAAGCGGACAGATACATGAATTTATAATTTATGCAATGCGTCAACGAGCGAGAGCGGACAGTTTGCGGATCCACTTGGATATCGCCTCGTGGATCCACAGCTACTTTGACAATATTGGGACGAAATTCATGATCAATAACAGGACAGACGCATGAAAAAACTGACGTCAATTTCTTAATTCGCTGTAAGTTTTCTATTCCACGACAAGCGTCAAAATGTGGTAAGAACATCAGTGACACACTCGGCTATCGCCTCGTGTGCCACGTTTTTGTTCTTACCACATTTTGACGTCATCTGTGACCTCTTNGTGTGTCGGGAAATTTTGATATTTAACACATTTCCCCCGTGGCGTCCATTTACGCAACACGTCTCGCATATTTTTAGCTTCTCCAACTTTAGAAGTGGATATCTAGACAACCAATCAGAATATCGAAAAAGCCCAACACGCTTTTGTTGATTGATGCCTTGTGAATAAGACTGTGCACCCATTTTGCTAGTACTGCGGAATCCGATAGCTGATAAATTCAATAGAAGAAGCCTTGGTCATTTCACGCCTTACCGCCTCCTGACACTTCCTAAAAGAATGCATTGCTGAAATTGTATTTTTTTCGTCAAGTAGATTTACTAAGCTTTCTTATGATATATAGTTTGTTGAGGTTTTATTGAAACTGGCGCGCGTACGATTTATTTCCCGAAGGGCACCTGCGAAGGTGGGAAGTAACCTTAATCGAGCTTTGAACAACCCGGCCCAGGGGCTCCGGTTTTAGGCTTGGCTAAATCTACATATTATCAGTTTATAACTTTTCAGCTTTTATAGCTGCCGCCAGCTGATTTAATTTCACAATCCACAACGTACAACCAAAAGCACTGCCGTCGCCAACGTAAAAAAAGGTTCCAAAACGGCCTACAAAAACAGGAAGTAACCTTGCCAACGTGCGCAGGACTGAAAACAGGAAGTAATCTTGCCAACGTGAAACGGTACACGTTAAAAAACTGTTTGGACTAACAACTACCAAACTACAAACCACAAACTCGCAAAAACGAGAATCAAAACACGTGTGATTCTCTAGGGAAAATTTCTCATGACGTGATGTCACTCAAATCGGATATAAATAAACCGGAAACGAAACGGAAGCCACAGCTCTATTTTGAATTTCAGAGTTATGGCGGCGCGTGACATCTACTTACGATCTGTACAATTACCTCGTCATTTGAAGCCATTTGAGAAGTTTAGTAGAAAAAGTATTTATGAAACTGTTTGTTGTCCAGTAGAGATAATCAGTGGCCTCTCTAACCACAGCGAGTTCCAGATGTCTACAGTATCTTCTGGCCGGACTTTGTACCAGTGAATAGTTTAAAAGCTGTTGTTTTTGTTGTGACTTCGACGAATATCAGAACTTTGGAATAACGCACAGACCTAAAACTTGAGGAAGTATGCTCTCTATTTATCTTCTATAATATCCCTTTTTCTTGACTTTATCCACTAAATGGTTTTCGATATAATTTTTATTGCGTGAGAGTGAAAACGATCTATTTTCGCTTGAATATTAAATTCAGACGATGAAGTTCATCTGACCGTATCACAAACAAAGTTATGCCAAATTGGAATTTTGAAATCGCTTGGCCACGAACACACGCATGCAATATCGGGTTTAATCAATTGTCGAGATGGATTACCTGAAAAGGAAATTCAGAATTCGACATTTGTCGAGCGTATTAAAACTAGGCCTGCCTTGTAACTCTTGAGTTTGCATAAATATACAGAATATATTCACTCACCAGCAACAGTTTCTTGAACGCCGAAATTGCAAAAATTATGCACTTCCATGAATATATCTTAACTTAACTTAACTAACTCAACTGTCATCCAGAACGAATTTCAGCTTGTGAATTATTTGGTCTTCATACTATGTTTCGGCTCACTACAAACACTCCCACTTTCACTTTCTGTCTGATTTACCCCACCAGCGCAAACAATTTTCCTTCGTTGTTTTTACACTTAACTTACTATTGTCTATTTAATTGCTGCCGATAGGCAGCGTTCATATTCTTGAAGGCATTTGAGAAGTTTCGTTGGTTCGTTGGTTCGTTCTATCGGATCGTGAATTAGCCTATCAGCAATGCCCTTTGAAATACGAGGCAGCCAATGAGCAGTTCGCTTATAATCGATGAAATTCACATGTGCTCGATCAGCCGTTTTGACGTCTTTCGCGTTTCACAAGAAGGTGAGTTTTGCATT